TAGCTACTCTCTATACAAAAGCTTTTTGCCTATCGGAAAAGCTCGGATATCCGAAAATTTGGGGGTCTACAGTTTGATCGAAAATCGATGATTTTCGACAGAATTGGGTGTTTTTTGGGTCTAATTTAGGAGATAAGTAATATGTAATAATGATAATAGCCTATTAGTAGTCGTTAATGAATAGTACTATACCCTCCTTTGCACCAAAATACCCGAATTAAGACCCTTAACTCGGAAATTTGTAATCGATGGAGGGTACAATCGGACCGCGCCAATCGTGCCCCCCACCACTTAAGTTTTAACGAAATAGTACCCGAACGATACTAAAATTGCTTCAACGATACCCAACAGTCGTTGCGGATGTTGTCCTTGATGTCCCTGTTGAGTGTGGAACACGTTGATCAGCTTGCCACTCTACCCTCCGGCCACCGGCAAAATCACCATTAACGTGCTTAAACACTCAAATTACACTCGAGGGAGGGTATCCAACCCTTCACCAAAACACACAATCTTTCTATCAGAAACGATAAAAATCAATCTGAAACAACAACAAATAGGACGGTCAGATCACATCTCGTCCGGAAATAACATATAAACTGTCACTTTACATTTTTTTACTGTTTTTGGTCTTTCTTGGATTTTTTTACTGTTTTTTGTACTTTTTTGTTTTTAAATAAATTTATTTTTGGCTTTTTCTTGGTTATACACTATTTTTGTTTGGTTTTACACTTTCTCTTTAATTGTTTTTGTTCCTGGGGCCTCAGGACAAGTGGGCTCTAGATTTCCCACCTAACCCTCCGGCCCCCCGAATTTTCGGTGTTAACTACGTTAAAAAGCTAAATTGTACTAGACGGAGGGTACGCACCTTCCCCCTAGTACAACAACGGTCATTAAGGCCTCTAACTCGGGCATACGCCCGGAGCGGAGGGTACGTCGCTGAAACGCTTGCTGATCATGATGGTTTCATGCCTTTAACAGGCCCACCCAGGAGCGCCATATAAACGTCTATGTAACATTCGCCCAAATACTACACAGCGACGGAGCGTAGAAAAAGTACCTATTAACGACTGGCAGGCGTCAGTTACCTTAATCCTACTCGTTTTTCGCCGTCTCGACCTTGCCAGTTGATTTTCTGGTCTGTTTAGGGCAAAGTAAAAAGTTACCATTTTTAGGCCATCAGTCAAACGACTTTTGATCACCTTTCGTTTACATGCGAACACAACCACATAGCTGAGTCTCGGATCCTCAGACTACGTGATTGTCATTAAAAACACGGCTCGAACAACCTATTTTAACATGTTTTTGTGTGACAGTCCTATATTAAATCCATTGGAGATGGATTGACCCTTTCCTCTTTCTAGCTACTCATACTCTGAAATATTAAACAATAATGGTGTTAATTAAGAGATCTATGACATTCCAGCAGCTATAAAGTTAGTTTATACAGTCCCTTCACATAAAACAGTCTCTGGGGGACCAAGCCTCCGCTCCCGTAATATTCCTGAGATAACGCTCTTATCTCTTATAATTCGTGTCCCGGGAGGGTTCCGTGGTATATTTCTTCCCCCACTCAAGCCTCCTTCTCCACCAATATCTGTTAACAAAAGTCTTATCGTGCGTTGTTGCCACGATAAGAGGCTTCGTGTTTTCCGTCTCTGGTACGACTGTGTTTCACTATATCTGTCGTTGTTCTGAATCTCGTCACATTTTCAGTCAAAATGGCCGTTTTTCGTATTTCTGAGAAATATTCTTCTTCCAATCGAAATTTTAAAAATAAAAATTCTAGAATATTCCGACCCTCCTTCGCAAAACTTTTTCATCAATAAGGCCTTTAGTCGTTCTTTTTACGTCGCACGAAGGTTGTGCTGTGTCATTTTGCAGAATGGCACAATTGAATATTGGTTACTTTCCGTTCATGCCCTCTGGCATATCAATTTTTGAGGGATGTCCATAGCCAGATTTTTCTCAAAGTCTTTCAAGGATAGGTTTACCAGAATGACTGCCAGGATGCACCCATGACCAATCTTTTCTTCTGTACACAACAAATGTCGTTGCATTTAAAATGAACATTATTAACAGCCATGTACAAAAGGCGTTTCATTGTACTTCGTCACAAGTCAGGTGGCTCATTCTGGCTGGTTAATTTCTTAAGCGCGAAGTCAATAGTATCTTTGAGTGGAACATTTGTGTAGAAGCTTTTCACATCCAAGAAAACGATGCTCTCTTCAGAGTTTAATTTATATTTTATATTCGCTTTCATATCCCTGGCTGCTTCAGTGTTGGTCTCAATATTTGCACCATCGAGTTTATCAAAAATTTTTGCTTGTGTTTTATTCAGTTTCTCATACGAAGTACCGGGGAAAGAGAGGCCAAGTCGTGGTGGTGTATCCTTTTTATTTACTTGAGCCAGCCCATTAAGTTATGCAGGTTGACCACCAGCTGACCTCAACCGCGCATAATAGCCATCTGTGATCTCATCCCTTTTGTTTATGGCTAGTAGTTCTTTGTTCGAGTTTTTTTTCATTTTTTTGAACAACTGAATCATTCATATTATCATGTATTTCAAACTGTTCTGATTCTAGCACTTGGGTCAGTTTTTCTTCAAATGTGTGTTTTTTGATGACGCAAAACCCAACACCCTTAGAAGAAATTACCACCAGTAGTTCGTTGTTTTTGAGGTATTCTAGCTTGTTCGATTTCCATATCACGTGGAATTAGGCGTTTTTTTGTGTACCATTTAGCAGCTGCTTCAATTTTACATAAATTTTCGACAAACACGTCATGCTTCCTCAGTTTAGATTTAAAAAAACTTTATAAATATCTGCTAAAAAATGGACATCGTTGAATTTATCTCGTTCTCGATGTTTAGGACCCACAGACAGTAACTCATCCACCCATCCCTGCAATTTTATATCATCTAGTTCCTTTGCTGATTTTCTGTGCATCTTTCTTGGGGGTCTGACTTGTCTATCAGATAAGTTCTTAAGCGCGAATTTCTTTCCATTCCCTTTCATTCGTAATTGTGGTTCTATCTCCAGCTTACCTTGAAGCATGCCGACTTTCAGAAAGTTTTGTGCCAGAAAGAGAATTTTCAAGATTAATGTTTGATTGGAACTATCTATTTCTTTCATCATAACATATAATATAAGCGCGATGTCAATAGTATCTTTGAGTGGAACATTTGTGTAGAAGCTTTTCACATCCAAGAAAACGATGCTCTCTTCAGAGTTTAATTTATATTTTATATTCGCTTTCATATCCCTGGCTGCTTCAGTGTTGGTCTCAATATTTGCACCATCGAGTTTATCAAAAATTTTTGCTTGTGTTTTATTCAGTTTCTCATACGAAGTACCGGGGAAAGAGAGGCCAAGTCGTGGTGGTGTATCCTTTTTATTTACTTGAGCCAGCCCATTAAGTTATGCAGGTTGACCACCAGCTGACCTCAACCGCGCATAATAGCCATCTGTGATCTCATCCCTTTTGTTTATGGCTAGTAGTTCTTTGTTCGAGTTTTTTTTCATTTTTTGAACAACTGAATCATTCATATTATCATGTATTTCAAACTGTTCTGATTCTAGCACTTGGGTCAGTTTTTCTTCAAATGTGTGTTTTTTGATGACGCAAAACCCAACACCCTTAGAAGAAATTACCACCAGTAGTTCGTTGTTTTTGAGGTATTCTAGCTTGTTCGATTTCCATATCACGTGGAATTAGGCGTTTTTTTGTGTACCATTTAGCAGCTGCTTCAATTTTACATAAATTTTTGACAAACACGTCATGCTTCCTCAGTTTAGATTTAAAAAAACTTTATAAATATCTGCTAAAAAATGGACATCGTTGAATTTATCTCGTTCTCGATGTTTAGGACCCACAGACAGTAACTCATCCACCCATCCCTGCAATTTTATATCATCTAGTTCCTTTGCTGATTTTCTGTGCATCTTTCTTGGGGGTCTGACTTGTCTATCAGATAAGTTCTCATTTTTTTTTACAGTGACTGAGGCGCGTGGCAAAAGTGTTGTCCTTTGCTCGTCGTAGAACATAATTAAAGATGGCCATAATCTATCAGCAATTAATATACTAATTATGTCCCTTACCTCGCCCAAGTCTTCTGCTGCCCTACCGCTATCCTCTTTTGCCCTAACCATCTCTGTACTTTGTAGTTTAAGTTTTAAGCTGTGAACCGCTTGATCTGAAAAGATCCCATTCTCAGGTACCCTAAACCGCAAAAAATTAGGTATTGTAATGGTATCTCGGCATTTTTTCAGAAATACAGAGCGATATTGGCTTTTGTTATATTTATTCAAGTACTTTGTTTTGAAAACACTTGATACATACAAAAAAACTGCGACAGCTACAACTTCTGGCTTTGCCGATGTGTATACAATTGAACAACTTGTTATTACTTGCGAAATATATACTGAAGCGTAACGATTTTCATTTGCTTGATATCCCTCCCTCATCATACCAATCCTCTCTTGCGTCCTTATGTTTCAGCTAAAGAGATTGAAATACAAATGCGTTCAGAATAAATTGATTCAAGACACGACTGGTTTGAAAGGTGCTGCCCTACTCAAGCTATTCTGGAAGAAGTTTAACCTTTATGACGAAAGAAACAAATACACAAGGAAGCTTGCATGTGACTGTGCGATCTGAAACGAGTGCATTGACGAAGCCTGGACTCCTTGCGTAGACACAAAATCCTTAATAATACTACGACTACTTTTACTGATAATCAATACGGTTGTGTTTTTACATCAGTTTTCGAAATGCGTAAGAACCCTCCACCTGAGAGATTTGCTTTTGTGTTTTTTTCAACGAGTTGTTATTTGTTGCGCGCAACATCGCAAACTGTTCGTTTTTGAATTTCTCTTAATAATTTTGAGCCGTCTGCTTCTAATACCGAAGCTGCCCTGTGTTTCTTTTTAACTATTTAGTATATATTTTTAAATCATATGTTTTTACAATTGTGCGCTAGCTAATTTGTAAATCGGAATTTCAGAATAATTGCTATCTGTAAATTTAAAATGAGAAGAGCAGAAACCAACCAGGACGATAAATCACCATGGATGCAGGAGTCTGAGTAGGTTTTTCGTTTTGTTCTTGAAACGTTTATCACCACTGCCTGTTGCTATTTTCTGTTGTTGAATTTCCTTAGGGTGTTATCTCCATTGCTTCGGAAATACGATCATCAATTCAGTGCTCTACAGAAGACATTAGAAGAAACTAGGGTTAGGTATTTTCCTTAATTTTCTTCTAAAGAGTCCGTTGTCGTCATAGAAGGTCTCTTCATTTAATGTTTTCTAGGTAGACGTGTTGCAATTGAGATCTAAACTGTCACAGAAAACGGATGAAAACACAAAGTAAGCACCCATTTAAATGAATCTTTTGTTAATATCTGAAATGCATTGGATTTTTGCAAATTTTTTAAATAATATGACAGATTAAGAGTGCATTGTGACATCCAACATCTCTTCATAAAATGGGAGGTAGCTTTGGCGTAAAGTGGGATTTTCCATTCCCCTTCATTCGTAATTGTGGTTCTATCTCCAGCTTACCTTGAAGCATGCCGACTTTCAGAAAGTTTTGTGCCAGAAAGAGAATTTTCAAGATTAATGTTTGATTGGAACTATCTATTTCTTTCATCATAACATATAATATAAGCGCGATGTCAATAGTATCTTTGAGTGGAACATTTGTGTAGAAGCTTTTCACATCCAAGAAAACGATGCTCTCTTCAGAGTTTAATTTATATTTTATATTCGCTTTCATATCCCTGGCTGCTTCAGTGTTGGTCTCAATATTTGCACCATCGAGTTTATCAAAAATTTTTGCTTGTGTTTCATTCAGTTTCTCATACGAAGTACCGGGGAAAGAGAGGCCAAGTCGTGGTGGTGTATCCTTTTTATTTACTTGAGCCAGCCCATTAAGTTATGCAGGTTGACCACCAGCTGACCTCAACCGCGCATAATAGCCATCTGTGATCTCATCCCTTTTGTTTATGGCTAGTAGTTCTTTGTTCGAGTTTTTTTTCATTTTTTTGAACAACTGAATCATTCATATTATCATGTATTTCAAACTGTTCTGATTCTAGCACTTGGGTCAGTTTTTCTTCAAATGTGTGTTTTTTGATGACGCAAAACCCAACACCCTTAGAAGAAATTACCACCAGTAGTTCGTTGTTTTTGAGGTATTCTAGCTTGTTCGATTTCCATATCACGTGGAATTAGGCGTTTTTTTTGTGTACCATTTAGCAGCTGCTTCAATTTTACATAAATTTTCGACAAACACGTCATGCTTCCTCAGTTTAGATTTAAAAAAACTTTATAAATATCTGCTAAAAAATGGACATCGTTGAATTTATCTCGTTCTCGATGTTTAGGACCCACAGACAGTAACTCATCCACCCATCCCTGCAATTTTATATCATCTAGTTCCTTTGCTGATTTTCTGTGCATCTTTCTTGGGGGTCTGACTTGTCTATCAGATAAGTTCTCATTTTTTTTACAGTGACTGAGGCGCGTGGCAAAAGTGTTGTCCTTTGCTCGTCGTAGAACATAATTAAAGATGGCCATAATCTATCAGCAATTAATATACTAATTATGTCCCTTACCTCGCCCAAGTCTTCTGCTGCCCTACCGCTATCCTCTTTTGCCCTAACCATCTCTGTACTTTGTAGTTTAAGTTTTAAGCTGTGAACCGCTTGGTCTGAAAAGATCCCATTCTCAGGTACCCTAAACCGCAAAAAATTAGGTATTGTAATGGTATCTCGGCATTTTCTCAGAAATACAGAGCGATATTGGCTTTTGTTATATTTATTCAAGTACTTTGTTTTGAAAACACTTGATACATACAAAAAAAACTGCGACAGCTACAACTTCTGGCTTTGCCGATGTGTATACAATTGAACAACTTGTTATTACTTGCGAAATATATACTGAAGCGTAACGATTTTCATTTGCTTGATATCCCTCCCTCATCATACCAATCCTCTCTTGCGTCCTTATGTTTCAGCTAAAGAGATTGAAATACAAATGCGTTCAGAATAAATTGATTCAAGACACGACTGGTTTGAAAGGTGCTGCCCTACTCAAGCTATTCTGGAAGAAGTTTAACCTTTATGACGAAAGAAACAAATACACAAGGAAGCTTGCATGTGACTGTGCGATCTGAAACGAGTGCATTGACGAAGCCTGGACTCCTTGCGTAGACACAAAATCCTTAATAATACTACGACTACTTTTACTGATAATCAATACGGTTGTGTTTTTACATCAGTTTTCGAAATGCGTAAGAACCCTCCACCTGAGAGATTTGCTTTTGTGTTTTTTTCAACGAGTTGTTATTTGTTGCGCGCAACATCGCAAACTGTTCGTTTTTGAATTTCTCTTAATAATATTGAGCCGTCTGCTTCTAATACCGAAGCTGCCCTGTGTTTCTTTTTAACTATTTAATATATATTTTTAAATCATATGTTTTTACAATTGTGCGCTAGCTAATTTGTAAATCGGAATTTCAGAATAATTGCTATCTGTAAATTTAAAATGAGAAGAGCAGAAACCAACCAGGACGATAAATCACCATGGATGCAGGAGTCTGAGTAGGTTTTTCGTTTTGTTCTTGAAACGTTTATCACCACTGCCTGTTGCTATTTTCTGTTGTTGAATTTCCTTAGGGTGTTATCTCCATTGCTTCGGAAATACGATCATCAATTCAGTGCTCTACAGAAGACATTAGAAGAAACTAGGGTTAGGTATTTTCCTTAATTTTCTTCTAAAGAGTCCGTTGTCGTCATAGAAGGTCTCTTCATTTAATGTTTTCTAGGTAGACGTGTTGCAATTGAGATCTAAACTGTCACAGAAAACGGATGAAAACACAAAGTAAGCACCCATTTAAATGAATCTTTTGTTAATATCTGAAATGCATTGGATTTTTGCAAATTTGTTAAATAATATGACAGATTAAGAGTGCATTGTGACATCCAACATCTCTTCATAAAATGGGAGGTAGCTTTGGCGTAAAGTGGGATTTTCCATTCCCTTTCATTCGTAATTGTGGTTCTATCTCCAGCTTACCTTGAAGCATGCCGACTTTCAGAAAGTTTTGTGCCAGAAAGAGAATTTTCAAGATTAATGTTTGATTGGAACTATCTATTTCTTTCATCATAACATATAATATACTCTGCAGTTACCCGAATACGGTCACACTATTATTTATGACTACCTAAAAGACCGGAAAGTATTGGTACGGGTTGTCAATACTAGATAAAAAAATTCTCGAGGCCACTTCTAGTTATCCCCAAGGCTCACTACTGGGATTATTGCTATTCTGCATTTACACAAAAGACCTTCCAGAAGTGCTCCGATTGCCTAAGCCCTTAGTTCCCAGATGTTCAAAAGGAAGTCCCAAAAGGTACAAGATGACTTGATTAAAATAAAAGCTAGGTTTTTGAACACAAAATGCAATGGGTTCTCGACAAGGGTGCTAAAATTGCTTTAAGAGGTAGAAATACACAGTCCAACTTACTTGGTAATGTCCTTGATGCATCTGCTGTTGTATAAGACCTGAAATTAACACATCGAAAAGGAATTAACTTTTTTGAAGAGTTGTGCTCTATGATTCAAAACGTTAAAACGCAGCGTCTCTGCGATTTAACTGTTTTATTTAGCGGTCTTTCTTGTGCTTCCCTATCTCGAAATGATCAAATTCAATTGAATCGATTTCAAAAGAGCGATTTGCTGGATTACTGGTAATGCAAAAAGTATGTATGTGATTGAATTGCGTATAGTAAACATCATTCACTCACCCATTTTCCTCAAGCTGAATGATAGTTTCTAGCCCGAATTCTGATCAGCAAAAGTAACTTGGTCTGCCTGGGAAAACTACATCACGAGCAAGAAGCATAGATTTTTTTTGAGTTTTCCTTTCTTAAAGCGGAAACACTAAGTTTTCAATTGTTAATTCGAACGAATAGACTTGTAAATCGACCAGAGCCATATATAGCAATCGAGAAAGAAATTGGCCTCAAAACTGAGTATTAAGGACAATATGGAAGTTTTTAAACGAACGATTTTCAGAAACAAACACCTAATGGAAATAAGTGAACATTTTTTAAAAGAAGAAGTCGTTCTGTCCATAACGTTATAGGATCTGTCATTAACGTTTTAGGACTGATGGTCTCCACTATTACCTCTTTTGTAATCACAAATTAAATGAGTTGCTCGATTCCCAGAATACGAGCGCATTTGGCAAAGTAGGAAGATACTGAAGGGCTGGAATCAATTGTTCTATTTTTTAGAGGTTACGAATGCTACCTTAACGGGAGCAGGAAGCTCTTAAAAGCTTCCTATAAAGAATGAGGCAAAAATTTATTGGCCGGTAAAAATAATTTTTGATAGAACTTGATGTACAGCTTACTCTTTTTTTTACATAACTACAATTTTCCGGCTTTGAAATCGAAAGTATTACTTAGCTGTTTAACAAAAACTATTTATAACTGGTTATTTACTAGTTCTTAAAAACTTGTTTGAATCGGGTCATCAAGGAAACTTACGAACCCAATGCATAAACTCAGATATAAGCAGCGCTGATTGTAAGCAAACAGAAAACAGAATCGTTTTTGCACTACGATTTACCGTTAGGTTTTTAATTAGCATTGTAAATTGATGAAATTTTCCAAGAGTAAGGAACCATAACATCGGCATTTTTCTCCAATGTTGACAAGTAAAATTTCTGTACCCACGAAAATGACTATGTTAAAATGAAATCCACCATCAAAGTTCATTTTTGTGCATTTTTCAATTTAAGTTTTTGCTTTCTGACGAAAAAAGTTGAGTTTAAAATGAATGGTATGAACCATCCTATAAGGGGTCCCAGGGAGCAACCTATAATGAATAAGGCATAAATTGATTGGTCAGTTAAACATATTTTTAAATCAAATTTGATAATGAACTGCGTACTATTTTCTACAGACTAATAATTTCCGGCTTTGAAATTAAAACTATTTTGCGATTATTATATTATATTTAGAAAAGAGACAACGGAATCGGTTTTTGTAAGAGGTCAATTTTTTGTTCGGTTCTTCATTAGCATTGAAAATCGATGAAATTGTCCAAAACTTAGCAACCAGTAAAACGGCAATTTTTCAATTTTTTAAAGCAAAATTTCTATACCCACGAAAATAACCATGGTAAGATAAAATCCACCATCAAATGTCATAGTTTTGCTTTTTTTAAAACCTTTCAGCCTATCAGTGCTCTTGAAAAAACAGTGTCAATCCTTTTTAGTCTTTCAAACATGTTCAATGAACTTGTTCAAAAAAGTTTTAATGATCAAAGTCTAAAATTGTACCAAATTGGAGAAAATGCTATAACACTCCCGTGAAAAATAGTTGAAAAATAGGTCTCAAAAGTGAAACCATTTTTAAAAAAGTGGCATTACTCAACTGCCTTTTTTGTCTATTCAGGTCCGATATTTAGAGTTATTTGATGGACGTTTTTTGGAGTACCTTGTTTAATCAAGTTTTATTGACGGTATCTTACCCCTTTCCTAATTGCTTTAAACAACGCTCGACGCGCAATCATCCAACACTTCAAGTGGAAGATTTTGCCGTCTCGTCTTAGTCTCACCTTGCAAACCCCGCCGTGGTGACTCTGACTGGCGGGGGGAGGCAATTCCAGAAACGAGACATCCGGTGCGTCTGGTTGTGGTGCTTGTTTCGGTGAAACACTAAGATGTTAAACAGGCAAAAGTATGGCGGATCTGTGGTGGTGATGTCTCTGCTCGGTTAAGTTTTTGTATGTCTCGAACACCAGAGAGCTGAACTGTTTTTGGTGTCCTAGTTGGATTTATGAGCCTGTCATGAGTCGACACTCGCCATCAGGAGCTAATGAAGTGGCAAAAAAATTCATTTTAACGGTTTACTTTGTTGTTAGATCTTTTTCTTCATGTTTGTGGGATCTTCGTATGTGTCTGCAGCCTAATTTTTGTTTCCATTATTCAATCAAATATGATATCTTGAATTTTTTTCATGCTGATGGTCAGTTTGTAAACTTTGGTTAATTTTTGAGGCTGCATATTTTTTAAAAAAACGCCACCGAAATGCGAAATTGTCTTCAAAATAATTAGATTTTTTAAAGTTATTGCCTGTGTTGATTATCGTGACAAATGTTTCTTTTGTACATTTGTAAAAGATTAAAAGAATTTTTGGTAATTTTGATGAGCAAAATTGTACCGACGGATTTCGAGTAAGTTTTGACATGCGCGAACAAATGAACTAATTTCTATAAACTTGAGAATCTATGATATATGATTTGGTTAGAACTAACAAAACCAGTTTATACAAGGTCAAGGCTATTGTTTTGTGTAATTTGTGTTTTCTTCATGATCAGTGTTTTCTGCGGTCTACTCAATTAACATGAATCGGAAATTTGTGCGTCTAGATCGGGTCTCGAAGCCAATAATTCCAAGTACTTTTGGGCGTAGCTGTATTTTAGTAGCTAAAAAAGTTCTGAAAGGCAAAAGAGTTTGTGCATGTAAACGTTTCTTCTGATTAGGTAATTTGCTATTTCAATTGATTGAGAATCGATGAACATAGTCAAGACTCTTATAAAGGTCGCGGTGCCTTTTTGTTACAAAAATGCTTCATTAACTACAGAAGTGGACTCGTTCAATTTTGCTCTAATAACTACAGAAGTGCACTCTTCCAGTGGAAGATTATTTGTCTTGTCTCTTAGTCTCACACATCAACCCCCGCCTGGGTGACTCTGACTGGCGGGGGTCCAATTTCACTAACGAGACATCCGGTGCGTCTGGTTGTGGTGCTTGTTTCGGAGAAACACTAAGATGTCAAACAGGGAAAAGAAAGACGGAGCTGTGGTGGTGGTGTCTATGCTCGGTTATGTTTTTGTATCTGTGGAACACCAGAAAGCTGAACTGGTTTTGGTGTCCTAGTTGGATCTATGAGCCTGTCTCGAATCGACACTCACCATCAGAAGCAAATGAAGTAGCAGAATTTCTTTTTAATGGTTTACTTTGTTCTGAGATCATTTTCATGTTTGGTGGGATGCTCATGTGTGTCGGCTATTCAATCTTTGTTTTCAAAATTCAGTCCAATTATATCACGATTTTTTCATGCTGATGGTCAGTTTTTGAGGCTGCAGTTTTTTTTTAAAAAAGGCCACCGATGTGCGAATTTGTCTTCAAAATAATTAGATTTTTTCAAGTTATTGCCTGTGTTGATTATCGTGACAAATGTTTCTTTTCTAGGTTTGTAAAAGTTTAAAAGAATTTTTCGTAATTTTGACAAGCAAAATTGTAGCGACAGATTTCGAGTAAGTTTTGTTGTGTGAACAGAGGAACTAAACCCTATAAACTTGAAAATCTATGATTGATAATTTGGTTGGAACTTAACAGAACCAAGTTATACGTGGTCAAGTCTATTGCTGTGTAATTTGCGTTTTCATCATGATCACTTTACTGCTCCATTAACATGAAGCATAAATGTGTACGTCTAGATCGAATCTCAAAGCCAAGAAGGCCAAATACTGTTGAGCATAGCTGTATTATTAGAAGCAAAAAAAGTTCTGAAAGACAAGAGAGCTGTCTACTAAATCTTTAAAATTTTACGCTTAATTAGCTTGTGCATGTAAAAGTTTTAAATAATTAGGTAATTTGTTCTTTTAATTGGTTAAGAATCGATGAAAATAGTGAAATTCTCTTATATAGGTAGTGATGCTTTTTTTAGGAAAATGCTCTAATAACTACAGAAGTGCGCTCGTAAATATTTATGCGTTTACAAATGCACTTAGTTATTTATGCACTTCTTCAAATTATTATTTTTTAAAATTTGCTAAAATGTAGGCAAATTGCGCTCTCCATTTGTGAAAGCGGAAAGGTTAGGAAAACGTGATCGACCTCTAATTTCGAAAGTGGATTGCTTTTTCGGATTTCGCAGCGAATAAAAGTTTTGTCTAACGATCATTTTTTCTCAAATTGAGTTAATTTTATCAAAAAAAAAGTTAATCATTAATTGTTCCCAAAATTTGAAGAGCTTTAAGGTAAGATATGTTTTTCCTAAAAACTCGAAAGTGTTGTTTGAATTTCGATTTTTTTAAATTTTCTTTGTTTTTTTTTGCGTTCATTGATTCTTTTCCAATTGTCTCTTGGCTATTTTTTGTCTTTCTAAAATTTTTTGTCTTTGTAAAAAGTGCAGCTTATTTTCTGTGCGAATGATTTGTAAATATGACGTCAATTCATGATTTTAGGTTGCAAGCTGAGTTAAACTCAGTGTCACTTGAGCTGCTAGAGTTGAAGGGAGTTTTGCCTTCGGGTGAAGAGTCCGGATCCAAGCAAAAACAACACTTTTCTCTTTCCAATGCTCATATCACAGCATCGTTAGAGCAAAAAGTGCGACTTTTAACAGAAGAAAAAGACAATGCGCTGGAACTGGCTACTTCTGCCAATAATGAACTGGACCAGCTACAGAGGAACTACAAGGTGGGATTTGGTCAAGAAATAGTTCAAAAGTTGCAGAAAAAAAGTTATATTCGTTAGTTAAAACTTGTTAGGTTTTCAGGAAAAAGTAGCTGAGATTGAAGTGGAACGAAACACTCTGAAATCGCAATATGTAAGTTAGAACCTGTTTTGGTAACTGTCTTTTTTATTCCTGGCGGTAAATGTCAAGAACCTTGGATTCCTTCTTGCTAAAAAATATTTCAAAAGTTCTTGGATTGTTTGAAAAATACGACCACCATTTTGCTGAGCTATTATATTTATTGAAACATATGCTCGGAGATTACAGAAAGTTTTGAGCTGATCGTAGCAGACTGGTATAAATCGGAATTTTCTTTCCATTTCTAATATAAATTTACATCACAATATTTATAACAGACATGGGAAGTTGTTTCCAATAATAAATATAAATCTCAGATTCACTTGAGGATAATCTATCTATTATATATTTAAGTGCGGGCTTCACTGTCTCGCTATATTTAAGCTTTTTCAACATATTATTTCTGCATGTTTAACGAAAAAAATTTCACGCTTAAGCTATATCGTATTTTGCAATGGTTACGAATTTTTTTCGATTTTCCATTTTGAATTCCGCGTTTGTTTCACCGAGTTCAAAACAAGCAACCCAAAAGTGCGATGCTGTCAGGGTTTCCCCAGGGGTTGCGAATTCGGCCTCCAAAACTGAATGCCCAAATCCTTATCAGTGTACGAGATAAGACAATTTTTGTGATGGTTTCAAAAGTTTTCAAAAAATCTACGAAATAATTTTCCTGACTTGAAATTCACAATCCTGTAATTGGGTGCTGTCAGATTACTTTCAAGAATTGCGAATCTTGCCTCCAAATATGACTGCTCAAATCCTTGTAGTCTTCGAGATATGATGATTTTTATGATTTCTTTTTAGTTTTTCAGAATTTTTTTTTTTAATTCAAAAGAATTGAATTTCTTAGCCTTGTAGTTGAGTACTGTAAGGGTGCTCACAAGAGTTCCAAATTGCAAACCTTGCGTTCAAATACGACCCCTCAAATCGTTATAGTTTTCGAGATGTGACGTTTGTTATGACTTTTTTTAAGAGTAATGAGCGTTTTAAAAATTTGAAGTTCCGATCTCTATAACGAGGCTTTTTCTGGGTAATCCTAGGATTTGCTAATTTTGCTTCTAAATATGATTGATTAAATCCTTGTGTTTTCGAGATTTGACGTTTTTCATGATTTTTCCAAAAAATATATTCTATATTCAGAATACTTAATTTTGAAGGTTTTTCTTCTAAGTTTGAAATTTTCAACCCTGTAGTTGGGGGCTGTCAGAGTAGTCTGAGTGGTTGAGATTCTTTCCTCCAAATATGACTGCTCAAATCTTTGTAGTTTTCCAGAAATGATGTTTCTAGTGAGTGATTTTTTTGCAAATTTTTCAGAAATCTTAAATTTAATTTTTTTTCTTTCAAAATTTGATATTCCTAACTTTTTAGTTGGGAGCTGTCTGAGTACTTCCAGTGGTTGCAAATCAAGCCTCAAAAATGACTGCTCAGTTGTTGGTACTTTTCGAGATCTGACGCTTTCTATGGTTTTTCAAAAAAAATCCTAAAATTTAAGTTTGAAGTTCCGCAAAATTCCCGACGCTGTAGTTGGGTACTGTGAGAGTATTCTCAAGACTTGTAAATCTTGCGTCCAAATGCGACTGCTCTATTGCTTTTAGTTTCTGAGATGTTACCTTTCTAAACTCATGTTTCAAAGAGCTAAGATATAAAAAACATCACAAAATTTTATGGTTTTTCAAAATTTGAATTAAAAAACTTGAATAAAAAAAATTTAAAAAAATTTCAAACTACCAACCCGGTTATTGGGTGCTGTCCGAGTACACTAAATTGATGCAGATCTTAATTCCTATAAATGCGGTTTTTATGAGTTGTTAAAATTCGAAGCAACGTAGGTGCGTTATATGCTAGTTATAACATAACCATATGGTGACAAACAAAATGACCTAATGGCAAATTTCGCCAGCCCACCCGGTTACAATCGCTTGAAAAGAGATAAATGGGCAAATCGGAAATCAAAGTAGCGGCGGCTACAGGCATCCAAAGACGCGGGCAGCGTTCAGTTCAAGAGAAGACTTCATACAACGATCACTTCATCAGGACGACTATTTGCCAAATAAGTGCAAATGGACCTCTCTGTTACTGAAAGTCAACTACGACAGCTTTCGTCCTGAAACAGCACAATTCAATCCCCTTCTACCAACAATAAAAAGTTAAAAGAAAAGCACGATTTTACACAGCGTGTCATCATAGCCACAAACGAAGAAAATTGATTTAATGATTTAGTAATTGCCAACACTAGCGTGTTCATCAGTGCAATGTCTTTGACCAATTTTGTGAAGTTTGTAAAAGCCATGTGCAAGTCATCAACAAACTAATGCCCCTGACAATAGCGTTTCAGCTTTGAGTTTTGCACCAGTTTCCGATAAGTTTTTCAAATAGGAAAATTTCTCTTAGAAGAAGGCTTCATTTGTTCCAAAATACTGTCAGGCATTCTTTCTGGCCTCGTTTCAAGTGATATCCGCAGTCGAGCTCAACTGAATAAACAACTGAGTAACAGAAAAAAAACTTAAAAATTAAAATTTTAAAAAATTAAAAACTTAAAGTTGTCCCGTATAACATTCAAAGCGAGCTTCAACACAAAGACAAAATCAATCAAAACAAATGAAACCTCATATCACGAGTGTACTTGACCAATTTAGGCGAAAATCAATAGCTAAAAAGCGGCTATAAATAACAAAATTTCCAACTACCTGACGTAAAGATACAGACTGAATTATTCAGCGCAATATAACCAGAACCTCGTGAATCTTAGCTCCTGAAAAGCGACGTGTGAGACAAACATGTAGAAAGTGGCTGAGTCAATGAAAGCCACAGCAAAGGAAAAAATCAGTCAGCTCGCGATAAACCACGAACTCAAAAACTTCTTTCCGAGACTCATCAGAATATACAGGGACTTATTTGAGTAGACATAGAAAATACGAGACAAAATTGTTGTAGCTTTTATTAAAGCTAAAGTTTTGCGGTCTCTCCGCGAAAAATCACAAACAGAAACGCTCCTAGTGTTTCAATGACATTTTCAAACGTCACTGACTGGATATCGGATAAACCCAAAGTTTTCATGTCCAACTGACCCCAGACACGAACAGACCAGTCTATGCATAGACACAAAATGTGCCATCCAATTAAAAGACGAGTTGCTCGACGATTTAGTTCTGACCATGGAAAATAACATCATCGGGAGATACTTGTTCCCCATATTTTTGAAAGATAACGAAGAGAGGCTTTGCATCCTGGCAGGTTTTAGCCGAAGCATCAGAGCATGCAGTCTTTTGATTTGAACAAAACTTGATTCTGTTTACGCAGCCAACAAATGATTTCAAAGGTGCTCAAAAGTTTTGTATTGTGAATAAGTAGACATCAGCCCAGGGATCCAGGAGTTGGTCTTGCCACTGATAATTGCTTCTTTAGACTAGGGGAGGTTGAGTGTTTAGATTTACAAATAATTACAAGTTAAAATAGTCCTCAGTACACAAATGTACACAATATTTTTTTCGGGTTGTTCAAGTCTATAAAGCGCAACAGCAGAACTAGCAGACAAGCTGTTATCATTCTAAGACTCATTAAACAGTAGACCGAGTTCATAGCCCCAGAAGAGCCTGAAAAATCACGTCATGTCTACGGAGGACCTTAAAACAGCCTGTGAGTTCTCACTTAGATTGCCAAAACAAAATATGTATTGCGTCATCGGAGCAGATGCATCCTTTTTCGTTGCTGGGTCCGTACTTGTGAACGAAGACCCCACCATCATTACAGCTAATGTGATGCAGTTTGTGTTGTATCTCATTTGTTGCGTAAATCAGTTTCTGTTCTGAGTCATATTAAGATTTTCAGTGAAGTGCAAAAAGTCTCAAACTATTTGTTTTACTGTTCAATGTACGTAAAAATCCTAAATAAATTATTAAAGAAGGTCTTTAGCTTCTAAAAATTTAGAAGCTTGTCAGCACAGTTTTTAGCAGTTTTGAGCATATGCTTTTTCATTGATCACCCTTTTGTGTCTTACCCAATAAAAATTAAGTAACATCCTTATGCATAGAAAACTGTTAATATTTGCAGATGTTTTCTTTGAACAGGAGCAAGGAGCGAGTGTTGCGAATTCGTACATGTCACTGCGAACACGAAACTCGGAGCTGGAGAAGCTAAATGCCAAGCTAGAGACTGATGTGCAGGAATTGACAAACAAATTGACCTCATTTTCCACATACTTCAAGTACGAATTTTTCATTCCTGTGAAGCTTCATGAAAGCGTTTGAACTATGTTAAATTTTAACAATGATTAATTTTAGACAAAGTCAGGATGAACACAAAATGAGCTCAACCCAATTAGTATCACTGCAGAATGCTCAGAACCAACTGGAAAGTTTTCTCCAGAAAAAGGTAGTCTTGTTCGCTCTGAATTGATTGAATATTTGGGCTCCTAGGGGCACTCTATTAGTCGAAAATTATCGGAAAAATTACAAATACAAGACTAGTCTGAGAGTTATATATAGAAAATTGCATTCATGTCGATCCGAACAATCAAATGAAAAGAAAACCCGCAGAAGATTTATCTAGTTGTTTATTCGGTCAGGAGTAAAATTTCCAAACAGCTCAAGACGCACAATAAGATTAGAAGAAAAGTTGTGAAGAATGAAATATTAGGGAACCTCATTTATTCAGTTAGTTCATTTATTACGTGGATTATGAGAAACTACGATCTAATTGTCGAGACCTACTTAGTTATCTGAAAAAAAATCAGTCAGCTCTATTTCATCCATCTCGCAGTGTACTGCTATTGTACAAAAATAGGAACTGGACTGAATGTAACTTTGTGGCGTTAGACAGTGGAGGCGCAGAGAGCGAGCCAGGGGGAGCGGAACATGGAGAGTCAGGTGGAGGAGTTGGAGAGGGTGGTGGAGAATTTAGAGGGGAAGTACAAGGAGGCATCTGCACAGTTAACCAGACACACCACAGAGAAAAGACAGCTGATGGAGGAGATCGAACACCTCAAGAAGGACAAGTAGGTCATTCGTTTTTCCTCCTACTTTTTTTTCGTACTTCTTTTTTCGTACTTCTTTTTTTTTGCATTTCAAGGGTTAAATAAATGATATTTTGACCTAACTTGTTGAACAAATGTTTTCATCTGAATTATCAATTAACGCTGTGAAGGCACTTATTTCAGGTCGCGATTTTTTTGTCCAGGAAAACGCCTAAGTTTTTATTTGCGATTTGACTTTGATAACCCTATAAGTTCAGTTCAAATTCATTTGCTGAAAGGAAGGTCATAACGCTCTGCGCTTAAGAAAACGCAATTGGCGTAAACAACTTGACTGACTTTAGCTGCAAGGTTCGAAAATGGGTTTTTGATTTAAGATTTCCCAGTGGATCAACTTTTATCTAATTGGACTATTTTTTTGAAAAAACTGTTGACCATAATTTCTTCAGCTAAAAAAACAACAAGTGTCGTCGAACATACTTCAGACTCTTACATAGGTCGTGATGAATTTCTCTTCAGGAAAAATTTTAAAATTTGTTCTGGCTAAAATTTACTTTTTCGCGGTTTGGCTTTTGATTTCTTTTTAAGTTCAGTTCATTTACATTGCTAAAAGGAATACAAGCTCCACTATCGAATAGCAAACGTTTACTTGTGTTCATTGACTCTTTTCCAACATTCTGTTGACTATGTTTTTCAGTTTCGATGATTTTTGGTCTACAAAGTAATTTGGCGTTTTAAACTAGCGGGCTTGCAAGCGTTACTGTATTAGTATGAACCGTGTTGTTTTTGTCTAACCTAACTCGCAAATAAAAGTGTTATTGAAAAGTGTTCACTTATTTGGTGGCAACTTTGTTATAATCACGATCTGTAGCATTGGAATTATCATGGAATCTGTTATATGCTTGATTTGTGGCTAGTGTTGGTGATTTATTAAGCTCTCCATGGCTGAGTGGTTAATGCGTGTGACTATAATTTCTAGGTTGCGAATCGAATCCCAGACGTAGCCGAATTTTTACTAATTCGAGGCTTATTTCTACTTTTTTGATACACTTTATACGTCTGTGTTAAACTTTCGACTTGCGATGAGCATGGCATATCAAAATGAAACATGCTCGGGACGACAAAGGCCAAGTGTTTGAATCCGGTTGTAAACTGTATTTTGATGAAAATATTTTCTGTTTCCTTGCGTTAATTTTTCTTTTGCAACGGTCAATTGGCTATGTTTTCAAAAATGTTTCTCGGCGTAAACGGGTTTGCTTCAAAAGTTTTTGGTTCACGCTCATATTTGATTTTTCGCAATTTGGCATGTGATTTCTTTTAAATTTCAGTTTCTTTTGAGTAATGAACGTAGTGAAGACTCTTATATAGGTCTTTGTGATTTTTTTGTTTTTTTTTTTCAAGGAAAAAGTCTTAAAACGTTCTAGTAACTACAGAATTGCATTCATACATATTAATGCATTTATGAATTCAGTTACGAATTTATGCACTTTTGAATATAATTGAAATTCGTCTGCTGAAATTTAACGTAAATAGCCCTCTCCAAATACGAACATTGAAATGACGCGAAAAAACATGAACAACTTCTAGTTTCGAAAGTGGAATTGAATTTATAGGTTTCCCAGTGAAATATAAACTGAACATATTGATCCAGCTTTCTTAGAGTATGTTAGTTTTGTCAAAAAAGCACCAATCATGATTTGTGTCAAAGAATTTTAAGGGCGTATATTCTTTCTTTACACAAGCAAAATGTAGTATATTTTTACGAAGAGATTTTTCCAACCTAAGTCGCAAAAAAGTGCTCAATTGGTGGCACTTTTGGTATAATTCATTTTAATCATTTTTAAGACTATTTAAGCATAAGCAATTTGAAAACATATTTTGCTGTTTTTTTGCCTAGTGTTAGGTCCTGTTTGAAAATAACAGTTGTTATAAAAATGTATGGGTTTTTTTTTGCGACAATCATTTCTCAAAAACTACTGTACTAATTTTCAAAAAAGTATCAATGGATAACTGGCTTCTTTTCTATGTGCCTGCATTTTCCGCTTGTCTCTTTTCATTTTACCCCACGTTCTGCGGCCTTCGAAATTTTCAGTAGAGGGATTTTTGACCTCTTCTTTAAGTTTTTTTTTTATTTTCTCAAATTTTTAAAGCACAAATCTGAGATGAGGGTTTTAATGAAACGAAAAAGTTATGGTGATTTCTCCTTCTCAAGTGGCTATTCCCTTAATTGGGCAGAAAAAAATTGTCGCCTCAAACAAGCACATTTTTGACATTTTGTTAGTTTTTAAGTTTGAAAACTTTTTGACTTTTCTCAAAAACTACCTTGCTAAATCGGAGATCATGGGTTTAACCGAAAGAAACACAATAAGTTATGCGAATCTTCCCTGCGCAAGCGGCTATGCCCTGCGTTTTGAAAAGAGTATGGCCTTAGAAATGTCCAGCGAAGATTTGAAGAGCGAATAAGATTTGGAATTCCTAAAATCATTATCACTTTTTATGACCATCACTATCAATTTTTATGACCATATTTTCCCAGGTCAGCGGGCGTCTACGCGAGTTTAGTCTGCGCAGCTACAGACCGATAAATGTTGTCTTAATTTTGATTTAACTCTGACAATCGTGTTTCGAGACATGGTTTCATCAAGTATAATTTCAGTTTAGAAAATTTGGGTGATATTTTTTTGGCATTTTTTCAGTGTTTTTTTTTATCTCAGTGGCTTGGTTTCATTTTCTTTCGGCTAATGTTTGTATTGTATCGCACGTGGTGCGAAGCTCTGCTTCGCCACTGAGCAAAAATTACTGAAATAAAAGGGAATTTAAATTTGGTGCTGTTAGGGAATTGTTGGAGACGAGGGAGGCTGATGCAGTAAAAGAGGTGCGGCAGGCGACCCAACTGGTGGAAAATGCCATTCTGGAGAAGGACCAGGCAGTGTCCAGAGAGGGACAGGCCAAGGAAGAGGTGAAGTATACTTACCAGCGGCGGATTACGGGGGGGATGCCGCCATCCTTTCTCTTTCAGAGTTTCAACATATTTCTTGAACATATAGCGTCCAGGAGGGTTTTAAATGAGATCTTAGTCAAAGCCTTATTTCGTTCGTGATATCCATCATTCTACGGCTTTGACATAGTTGAGTTCAGCTGCAAATTTGTTCTAACCAATCTAGTCAGGATGTTATTCTGATCCCAGTTGAATTATTAACATAACAGCTTTGTTCACTTACTGTATTGAGTGTGTGATGTGTTGTTTTGTGTGTTGTAGATAATGAAGCTGAGGGATGAGTTGACCAAAGTGTATGAGGAGGCGGGCGAGAAGACCAGACGGGAGGTGGATGAGGTGAGGGGTCTGTGTAACAAGTCAGTGGACAGACTCATGGAGGACATACACTCTGTGGAGATGAAAGTGGCTGAGAAACAGTGCGAGGTAAAGAAAACGGCACTACAGATAACACATTGGGTTTTTTTAGAGATCGGGCTAATATTCTGATCGATAATTTTTTTAGGACTAATTGAAACAATTGCAATGGCTTGGATAACTTTAATAGAACTTTAATTGGATACTTTTCAGAGTAGATGAGCGTATATAGGTCATGATGTTTGTTTTCGAGGAAGAGTCAAAAATTTGCTCAGGCTCAAACTTACGTTTTTGCGGTTTTATGACTGATTTCCGTTTAAGTTAAGTTCATTTCCTTTGTTAGAAGGAAGGCAAACTCCACTTCAAGGCCATTGTTAGAAGGAATTCAAAGAGCTTCAAGGCCATCTGTTTTTTTCTTGGAAGTTCGAAAGTTAGATTTTTTCAAAAAACAGTCCGTTTTTTCTGTTTACTTGTATTCATTGGCTTTTTTCCAACTCTCTTTCTGCTATGTTTTATACGCCCGTGATTAGCATGCGTTATCAAACCGGAATATAGACTTTTTTAGGGTTAACAACTAGTTTAATAGAATCACTTTAATCATTTAACCTTTGGCTCATATGAAATTAAAAGTCAAATGTTGATTCGCGCATATGGCGAAGAGGTTACGCACCTGCCTATAAAGATAGAGGTCAATGGTTCGAATCCGTCCAGGACCTTTTTTGTAAGCGGAAAATTGTCCGGGAGTCAAAAAGATCTTTGCCGGACTTCTGTTTGTCGGTTTTTTTTGTCGGCTTAGTTACCGTGGTACCAAATTTGCCAAAAATTTGGCCATTTATTACTCGATTTAAAAAATATTTCAGTGTATTCTGTTTTTGGGCAAGTAATTGAGTTTTTACACAAGCAAAGCTTGTGTTATAGTATGAACTTTTTTTTCAACCTAAGTCGCAATTATTGTTGCGACGCAAATATTGTTGCGACAAAATGTGTTCATTTTGAAGGTGTCCATTTTGATCAATAACCAGCTATTAAATATGCCAATGCTAAGGATATTCAAACAGACGATTATATTACAAATAGCATTTTAGCTTCAAGGTATCATGGATCTTTAGCGTAGAGGTAGGTATGGAGACTCGCAACAAAATAAGAGGGTTCAAACCTGGGCGGGGTCGGATGTTTTAAACGAACTTTTTCGTATACTAGTTAAAACGCGTCCGATCTATAAATTGAGGCATGTTAGTTGGTAAATTTCTTTTTGGTTCAAATTAACTGGTACTGCTAATGCGTCATAATTGGCTTGAGTCACTTACCAATTATGTAGACTCATGATTGGCGGGCGTCACTTAAGAAACTTTGTGGACTTCAAGTTTTACTTGTTCAATTTTTGCCAGTAGCGTTATCGGTCATTTTTTTGCTTGTCTATGCGAAGTGCAACTTCGCCTCTGTGTAAAAAGTCTTGCCGATTTTTTGCCAGTTTTTGATTTTTTTCTTGCCTTTCATTAAAAATTTTCTTTATAAATTCAAGTTGTGTTCTGTGTATTTAGTGCAGTGTTATTACCCATTTTCGAGGCGACAAATCTCCCAGAAGTTCGATTTCAATCAGTACCTGTTTTTTTGTCGAAACTGAAAATTTTGTCGAACTGAAAATTTGCAGAATATTTTTGTTCTTTGCAATTTTTAAAAATTTATGACAAAAAAAACAGTTATTTTGAAGGTTTTTCAATATTTGATTTGTCTTTTCGTTTACTGGTAATCATAGTTATACATTTTTTTATCGCAAGTGATGCGAAGCTCCGCTTCGCCTCTGTGTATAAAATCAATTCCTTATCGGCTCAGCTGATTTCTGCTCAAAGATTGTCGGCTTTGTTTCTGCTTCTTGAGTTTCCAATCCTTGCTATTTTAACATTTAAATGTTTTGCTTTGCACGTTTGCCTAGAATGCATTTTAATTAAATCATACGAAAACTTCGGTTGACGTATTTTGTTTTCCAATTTTTTGTAGTTTTTGTTTTGACTTATGTCTTTTTATGTTTTTGCTGTAGCGCAAGTGGTTGCGAAGCTCCACTTCATCTCTGTATCAACTTAAATTTCTTGGCTTCTCCAGCGCACCTGGCCTAAAGGTAATGACTACGTGTAGGACGGCAAAAGTCCTAGGTGCGAAACCGGTGAGGTCCTGTTTTTCACCTTCAAAGTTTCACCTTGGTTTAATTGTTTTGTCGGCTTAGTTGCCATATATATTAATTTTCTTGTACTGACAGCAGTTTTTGTTGTTTTTACCAGAATTTTTAACTCAAGAGTATTTTTATTGGGTGATTGAAAATTACTAAAAATTTAACGTTGAATATAAAATTTTACGAAAACTTAATAAATCACGTATAAGTTTTTTTAAGTTTGTATTTATTGTAAATAAATTTGAATTTACGATAAATACGCCGATGAAACTTGAGTAATTTCCCGTTGAGCCGAAAACAAAATTGTTGTCATGAAAAAACTTGAGAATAAATCACCTATGACAACAATTTGGTTTTCGGCCCAACTGGAGATTACTCAAGTTTCATAGGCGTATTTGCCTCTCAATAGACGTTTCTGTAATTTTTTAAACGCCGGCATTTGTGAAATGAGTATAATTCGAGGTAAAATTATGAAATTATTTATTCATTGTTAAATTTTTTTTGTGGCTTTCGTTTCCTTTTTATCTGCCAGTAATTCTTTTTTGTATGGTATCGCAAGTATTCCAAAACACCGTTTCACCTGTGTTGATATTCTGGTCAATTATTGTAGGACATTCGAATTTCTTATAATTGTAGAACATTCTGTGCTACTTGCACAACAACCGGCTATCCTTGTTTCTTCTTTTGAGTATATTGAAAAATTGTCTTCCAGGTAGAGCGTGTCTTCCGTGAGAAGAAACTAGTTGAGAGCGAGTTGGACAAAGCATTGAGGGACCAGGTGACAGGGGGTCACGAGGTGGAACAGCTGCAGGACAGATGCATAACAGCCGAGAGGAAACTTGAGGACAGCAGAATCAAACTGAAACAGATGCAGCACCACACAGAAACCATTCAGCAACAGTGCGTTCAAATCGAACCTACATCAGTTGACTGTGATTGTAAAAGAAATATATAATGGATCTTGATGATAGCACTCTTTTCTTTCATAATTTTGCTGTAAATTATTGATAGTTTCGAACTCTAAAATTTAGTTTAGCACTAGTTTTTTTTTATTTTTTTCACATTTTACTCCGGGATACGACAGTAGAGAACAGCTAATGATTATCAAGACTCAAGAATTCCATGGCTGCTTTGAACTGGTATATCTATTTTTGTTAAGATTCGACGCACAGATCTCCAGCATGGAGGGGCAGCTGCGGGATGCGAAGAACATGAGTTCGAAGCTGTCCTCTGATCTGCAGTTGAACAGTGAGAAGTGTCTGCAACTACAGGAACAAGTGGAATACGCCAAGAAACAGGCTATGGCTTCAGAACAGGCCAAACAGCTGGCCACGAGAAAAGCTGCCAAATCGGTAAGTAAGCTGGAAATCTAACTAGCATTGAAATAAAACTAACCAATAAACAGTGTTTTTAATGAAAAAAAGCTACTTTCGATTATGAAAAAATATCGAGTTCCAAGAAAAATTATTGATTGGCTCTCTTTTGATTAAATTAACCCAATTTGAAAAAATTGGACAAATAGGTGATTTTTTTTGTTCCACTGGGAAATCTAAAAATTGAAATGCACTTTCGAAGCAGTCGTTCATCACGTTGTTTGCTATGTTCACACTGTTGCTGTTGAACAGTAGAGATTACCAACATAAAGCACTCGTTGATATAATGCATTTTGTTCTGACAACTGAATTTGTCAGTTTTGTGAGTTGGATAGTTTTCTATGATGCATATTTAGGTGGCGAGTGTGGAACAGGATTTGGAGTTGAAGGTGACAGAGTATGAGGCCAGAATAGAGTCCATGGAGGAGTGTCATCAACACTCCATCTCAGAACTACAGCGCATGCTCATCCAACAGCAACAACTGGGCGCTAAGTTAGTATTTAGTGTTACTAAATTTGTATTTGAGTTTCGATTAAATTATTCGTAACGTAGAAAAACCAGAAGCTAACAACTTCGAAAGAGTAATCATCGCAAGGTGGTGCAGTATGATAACTTGCGATGAGCAAAGACAGCTCTAAATATTCTATTCTTTTCGATATTAGATGGCAATAATTTAATTTCGGTTTTCACTTTTTCTGATTATGTTATCTATGCGTTTGGTTAGGTGGCGTGAGCAGTCAAACAGTCTGCAGCAGAAGTGTGAGGGGGCAGTGCAGGAGCTGAAGGAGGAGTTGATTGTGCACAAGAAGAGAGTACAGGAACTAAATGACCTCCTCGCCCAGACAAAACGCAACAAGGCAGAGGTGGGTGCATCATTTACTACAATGAGAACTGCTCACTTATTAAAGTGTTACAATTAAACATCTTTTCTGGGCAAGTTTAAAATTGGATGTCATTTTTTTTGGAAACCGCATGGGTTTGCACAAAAGTAAGGGGGTAAAGATCGTTTTTTTACTTTTTTCTATGAAGAGAACATTCTTCTTTTCCTAAAAATTTCATGTGATCTTTCTGTGAAGTAAGACCACGTGTAAGAGAGAAAAATTTTGGATTTTTTTTATTGCAATCTTCAGTATGTGTGTCCGTGTATGGTAAATTTGTTCTGTTGTTCGTTCCAGTTAGAGAAGCAGTATTATAAGATGCAGAATGAGAAGAGCAAGACGCATGAACAGATGTTGGAGGCACAGAGACAGCTGAGCATGAGTCAGGACCAGCTGAGCAAAGTGGTGAAGAGGGAGCGCACACTCACCAATGAGAACATCAAACTCACATCAGAAATAGACCAGCTCAAAATCGCCCAAACCATGTACGTATGATAGCGTTTTCAGATCAGGGGATATTGATAGAGATAGTACTTGAAATTGAGGTTGTAGCTTTTATCTACATTTTGAAACTTTGATTTTTCGTCATTTCTTTTAACAGAAAGATGTGAAACTTTGGGAATAATGATGAGTTTTAGTAAATTAAACTCAAGATTTTAGAACGTTAACCTGAGCTGGAGGCAAAACAATTCAGTTCAATTTAAAACTTGTTCTCTGTTTCATTTCAGCAACAGCGGCTATCTAGCAGACAAGATGAGAGAATCCTCTATCGGCCTGTCTTGACCTTATTGGATTGACAGAGGCAATTCAGATCAATTTGTACAGCCATACTACGCCAGTGATAATAAATTAGTTTCATGTATGATTTTGTTCAGTCTGTAAATTTTGCGTATTGTAAATATAGATTAATTATTTATGCCTTTCATTGTCCGAATCACTTAAGTTATTTTGAAATACACCAATATTTCCTTGTCTCAGCTGTCTCTTTGTTTCAGATGATATTGATATGAAGTAAAGCGACAGAATAATCTCCAGAAGGATAATCTACTAGATCTCACTTCGTCGAGACATCAGATAGGGAATTGAAATTGATCATTGAAAACATGCTGGATATCATCAACCGATTTGAGTGTCAGGTGAACGCCTTCGCCATTGTGTCGAAAGAGGACGGAGTCATCACAGTTTCCAATGACAAGTCGGTACAATATGTTTTCTTTTTAGACTTCTTGTAAAGTTTTTGCCAAGAAAATAAGACCGCGGAATCATTTTCAGCGAAGCTCTTGATTGCAACTACACTTCAGCTTTTTTCAAAAAAAAAATAATTCTAAAATGTCTTAACAGACAACAAATTTCACGAATTATTTAAGTTTGTTATATGTAAAAGTATTTACAGTCAAGGGACATAAAAGTTGCAACTTTTAGGTTTCAAGAGATTTAAATGAAGAAAAACTTTAAGATTTCAAGAGATTTAAATTTAAAAAACCATATTCACGGTTGTGCCATTTTTTCTACACCTACTACAGATTCATGGTTGAATATTCTTCTCAAGTGATGGCTGAAACTCTTTACCAGAATATAGTCTGATAAAAACAGTAATTTAGGTTTTTAAGGCGTTGTTTGGCCATTAAATTAGAGTGCGTCTTAGGGAGCAACCGTGGCCAAGTGCGTAAGACGCGCGGCCTTTAACACAAAGGGCAGAGAATTGAATCCCGCTTCGGTCATAAGAGGTGGTCTTAGAGCCAAAAAGTCCCCATAAGCAGAAGAAGCAGTGTACAATTTTGTAGTTGGAAAGATAATTGATCTAAGCTATGCCTTCATATAAGTTTCAATTTAAATAGAAAGTAATACAAAAGACTATGATATACAAATTAACTCAAATTTTGGAATTTTACTAAACAAATTGCTCAATTTTCAATCATCTTCTGTCCAAGAGCTTATTAAAAATTTAAGTTCTTTCTAACGTGGACTAAAACTTATATGAGGGCCTAGTTTAGATCCTTAGCTCTTCAACGAATACTATTAAGTCCGAAATTTTACACATTTCTTGTTTATTCGGACTTTTTGGCACTAAGACGCCTCCCTGACGCCCTCCAATTTAATGGCCAAACAACATCTTGAAAACGTTAAATCGTTTGAAAACGATTCAACGGGTTTCATCTGACTATATTCAAGTAAAGGGTTTCATCCATCATTTGACAAAGTTTCAACCATGAATTTGCAGTAGTTGAAGAGAAAACGGCACACACGTGAATACATTTTCTTTATTTCATCGCTTGAAAACTAAAAATTGCAATTTCTATGTCCCGTGAATGTAGTTAATTAAGAGTAGTGATCGTAGTGAAGACTCTCATATAGTTCTTGCTGATTTTTTGTGTTTTTTTTTCAGGAAAAGTCTTTAAAGTCTCTAATAACTACAGATGTGCATTCATACATTTTGATGCATTTATGAATGCACTGAGGTATATATGCACTTTTTGAGTTCAATTCAAATTAATCTGCTGAAATTGACGTAAATACAAACGTGGAAATGGCGCAAAAAACGTGAACGATTTCTAATTTCTAAAGTGGAATTTACTTTTTAGATTTGCAGCGGAATAAAAACTATTGATCCAGTTTTCTCTAGTTGGGTTCATGTTATCATAAAAGCGCCAGTCATGAATTCTTTTAGAAATTCAAAGAGATTAAAGGGCATTTATTTTTTTTATTTGAAGTTCGAAAGTTTTCGAGAAATTCAGTATTTTTTTTGTTTTCTTGCGTTCATTACTCTTCCGATCTTCGATTGGCTATGTTTGCTTATGTACAAAAATTTGCTTAGATCTCTGAAAGTATGGCTGAAAAGGGACAATGGACAGTACTGGCCCAGCATCTGTCACTTCCTCCCTGACTTCGGAACAGCAATCGCGTTCAATGAGCGACTTCTCAAGATCTTCATTGGACTCAACGTCGGAGTGGTGGAGGAGTTCCGAGTGGCAGAGGACTTCAACAGCGTCTCATTAGAGAGAGACTTCCACGGTACGTCCACTCGCTGTTAGTCAGATTTCATGAAATTCGTTTGTGTTGAAATTTTGGTCAGTTTATATACTGGCGTAAATTACGCAACGGGGATCGGACAGGTTGGATCGGTTTAATAAGCTCCATGTTAGCACCCAATGCATCTCGATGGCTTTGGCCAAGAGATTCTTATAAGATGACCTTTTTATATTATCCCCTTTCGTCCATGATCTACGCAATGAGTCTGGAATTCAATTTATTGATAATTAACATTGCTTTGAGCTCGGAACTGCCGGGGTTTTCAATTGACCTGAAAGTTCATGGTTTGGCACATCTGAGTTGGATATTTCAGCACACCAGAGACCAGTGACAGACATAATATACGCACAGGCTCAGGAGTACCTTCTATCATGCAGCAGGGACAAGACATTCCAGTATTTCCACACGCACAACGGAGTCAGGATAGGCAGAATCTCTCTCGACTCACAAGTCCTGTGTCTTGCGTGAGTGCGATCAAGTTCTGTTACATAATACCGAATAACCGACACACTAATGGCGGCTATTGGATCTGATTACTTCTCCCAATCATCATCGCATTGATTTTGAAATTAATTTTGTAGTTTTTTCTGGCTGGCGTGTTTAATCCTTATTTTGGGTTGTTTTAGTTTCGATGCCTTGTCTAATCACGTTTTCTTGGGCGAGTACAATGGTGCTATCTCGATGTTCCTCCTGGGGGACACTGAATACCAGCTGGTGACAAAGTTCCACGGTCACGAAGGTAAATTGAATTGGTTATCATAAAACCCTTTTATGATAATTTTAATTACGGCTAATTGAAGAAGGGCTATAAAAATTTGAAGTTAACTGTTTTCACTTAACTTCTTTTGGCCATTATTGGCACGAGCACTGGAAGTCAGTACGAATTTTGTTTTCAGGTGTGACGTACCTTTTTTTCCTCGTAAAATTAGGTACCGCAAATAATCTTCAGAGAGGACCTCAAAACCAGGGACCACAAATAATCATCAGAATTTTGACACTAATTTTGGTGATATTTCTGTTGACAATTGAAACTCTTAATAATTTTCCAGCAAACTTTGATTTTATCTGCTCAGAGCACGCATACGGCTTAAATCGGGGAAAAAGAGTCGGAACTTTCCGCGCTATTTTTACAGCAACTGGTAATTCTTGTTCCATATGCTTCTGGTTTATTAAGTTTTCATTGAAGTTCTGCTCCTTCAGGAATGCAACACTGACAACACCAAAAGGGTCCTCCCCTTTGTAACTATTTTGCTACTCCCATTTTTGGCCAACCAACCCTTCAACTCTTCTAAAGGCGCCAATGTTTTAGTTTTGAGTGGGGAATTCCGCGTTGAATACCCAATTTTTTGGTCAAAATCTTCAAAAAAGTGCTCAAATTTGTATTTTTGAGTCAGTTTCACGAATTTTCGCTTGCGCCCGGTTTTGTTGGCTAAATTTGATCCTTTTAGTGCTTTGGAAAAATCAATTGAGTCGTCCATGAAAGTTCTTAAAAATGGAAACCAAATATAGATCCCCATCTTACTTAGTTTTGATTTCAGGAAGTTGTCGGCAGTTGCTCTGGGAACCCGAATTGAAGTGGCTCGTGTCTTGTAGCTTTGATCAAGTTGTAGTGGTTTGGGATGTGGGAGGCAACAAGGGCAAATCATTCGAGCTCAGATATCACAAGTTAGTCATAATCTTTTAACTTCGTAAATATGTCTTCTAATGCCCATATGCGAAAGTATAATTGGATAACAGAATATGTATGGTAGCAGTATTAAAGATTATGGCTCCATCCTACAAGTTTTAGAAGTTAGATGTATAATTTCAATTGGAGGCGAAAATGAGGGTTACATTGAAGAGCAAGGTATAAATAAATAGTAATTTTGTTCAACATGAATGGTTTTAGGGGAAAAGTGAATGCGATAGTTCTGATGAAGCAGCAGATGCGACTCATCTCTTCGGCCGAGGATGCTCATTTGGTGTTCTGGAAACTAGACAAGCAGAGAGAACCGGTTAGTCAAATCAGATTATTAACCTTCGATAAACAAGGGTGTTGCAACCGGGAACTAGACTTAAATCCCCCTGAATAACTTCTCACAGAATTCGCCCGTGAAAATGTTACTTGCGTAATTATACATTCAATTTCAAGGAGCATTTGACCCAGTGGTAACACCCGCGCTTGAGTCGAAACAGCCTGGGAGTTCGACTCCTGTCGGGACTTGTTTTTTTTGCAAACTGAAAACTTTCGACTATCTTCTGTCTGCTTACGGTCAATTGCTTTTAGTTTATTCCATTCCAAGTTATTATATGCTAAGCTTGAGTTTTTGTGCATTTTAAAGCTCCTGAATCTTTGCGCTTTCTCGCACGTGTTTGCGAAGTTCGCCTCTGTGTTAAACTTAATATAAGACTGCTAAATTAGTTTTTGGTTTATGAGACTGTAATTTTTCAGCTATAAGTAAAATGAGTTATACTCGGTAAGATCGCTAAAATGATCTAAACTCTATCTTATTAGTTTTTCTCTTTCAGGCCACAGTGTGGGAGGACTGTGACAGCTGCCAATTATGTGCAGGTCCTTTCTTCTGGTCATTCAGGCAAATGTACGAAGACAGAACTATCGGTAAACGACAGGTAAGGATGAGTTGACATTTGAAATATTTTTCGAGCATTGATCCTACTATGACTATATCAGGGGTGGATCTAGGATTTTCTCGAGGGGGGGGGCGGATTTTGAAAAATAGACCAAAAAGGCGTTTTTAGGCACTTTTTGGAAAATTTTGACCGAAAAATAGCGTTTTTTCGTCCCCCCCCCCCCCTCAAATTTAGTATATATTGGCGCCAAAGAAAAATTTCAAGGTTGGTCGGCCAAAACTGGATTTCTTAAAAGTATCAAAGGGGGGACCCTTTGGGTCGGCAGGGGGTCGAATCCTAAATCCGCCCCTGGACTATATAATAGCTTTAATGATATGTGATATTGTATAATAACACCCTTGATCAGCTTAGAGTATTATTACGAACCTTCTTTTTTTTCTTATCCAACTCTCAAATAAAAGTGTTCATTAAAAGTGTTCACTTTTTGGAAATTTCACTGTAGCATTGAAATTTGGGCTCTTTTCCAGTCCCCCCCCCCTTTCAAAATACCGAGTTTTATATTTGTTTTACGTGTTATTACGGCTAAATACGTGATTTTTCGCTGCAAAGTATGAAGAACAAATCTGTTTAGAATTGTCGATTTGTTCACCACGCCAAATTTCATTGCATTATGTCAACGTTAGATAAACTTTTCAAAATTGAATTGGAAAGGGGGGGAACTGGAAAAGAGCCGAAATTTGCATAGCCTCTGTTCTCTGCTTTATATGTGGCTAGTGTTTGATAATTATTGAGCTTCCGTGGCTGAGTGGTTAGTGTGTGCGACGCTCAATCTGTTAGTCGCATGTTCGAATCTCAGTCGTAGCTGAATTTTCACTAATTCGAGGCTAATTTCTAAATCGAGTGTTTGCGAAGCAAAGCTTCGCCTTTTTGTTATAATATTTTGAATATTTCATATAATTAGAATGTACAATTTGGTTTTTGTCGCTTTATGTGGGGTTAATCAACTCTGTATTGGTAACAATTTCATCAAAACAGTTAATGCATTGAAGCTTCGAAATATGTTTTTTTTTGCAGCATCACTGTCGTAAGTGTGGTAAAGCCTTGTGTGCGAACTGTTGTCCACATTCGTCCGTCATGCCCAAGATGGGCTTCGAATTCCCAGTTCGTCTGTGCACCGACTGTTTCGACTCCGTCCCAGAAGCGGACAAAGTCAGTTTGGCCAAGAGACACAATGTGAAGTCGGCTGTGCACCTGATGACGTATGACCAGTCAAGGAGTCTCATCGTCACAGCCAGTCGTGACAACTGGATCAAAGTGAGAGTAATACTCCCCTTGTTTGAGCGTAGAACGAAGCCCTATTTTTAAAAGAGACTTCGATAGAGTACTCAGCTAATTCAAGTCAAATTGAGCTAGCCTTTGGTGTTCAATGTAGAGTTTTCCCGCTAAACTGTATCTTTACACTTGCGAAGCTAGTGTATTATTACGAACCTTCTTTTTTTCCAACGTTAGTCGCAAATATTGGTGCGGCACCCCAATAATGGTGGGGCACCTTTACAGCTTTTTGATAGCATGTGCTTTGACAATAAGTTAACACAGTTGATGCATTTTAAATTCATCAAATGAACCGAAAAAAGCTATTTGTTTCAAACAACATCTCAATGATGAAAACTCGATTTGAAATGCATAATTTTTTGAAATGCATAATTTATACTTAAGGTGGATTTAGGCTGTGCGATTTGTTACGTGCGAAGTTAGTGTGGATGCCTTCACTTTGTTATATTCCAAATTATTTATTGCAGAATTGAGTTTATTTGTATTTGGTGCTGAATCGCATTGGCAATTTGCTAGCATATGTAGCTGCTTTATTCGTGACTAGTGTTTGTCGGTTGTTAAGCTCGAGTGGCTGAGAAGATAGTGCGTGAGACTCAAAATCTCTTGATTGGAGTAGGTCGCAGATTCGAATCCTACACTTAGCCGAGTTTTTGCTAAATCGAGGCTTATTTCTATTTTTTCTTATTCAACTCGATAGAGCTGCTTTTTGGTTGTGTTCTCGCAAGTGTTTGCGAAGCGGAGCTTCGCCTCTGTGTGAAAGGATGTTAAGTCCCACTATCGAACGGCAAAAGTGTGCAGGTCACAAATAACTTGATCAACTATTTTCGAAGGTGGAGTTAATGTTCAGATATCCAAGTGTAATTAAAATTTTACGTATTGATCCAGTTTTCTCTATTGGGTTAGTTTTATTCAAAAAGCACGAACCAATAATTTCTCTTGAAGTTAAAAGAGTTCTAAGGGTATATATTAACAGATAATAAGAGTCGATGCACGTAGTCAAGACTTCTATATAGGTTGTGATTATTATTTTTTTAGTTTTTTCTAGGAAAAGTCTAAAATTTGTTCAGGCTCAAGTTAACTTTTTTGCGGCTTGACTATTGATTTGTTTTTAAGTTCACTTCAGTTCCTTTGTTAAAGGAAGGGAACCTTGGCGATCGCACAGCGAGAATGTAATGTCCACGAAAACGTGATCGTCTTCTAATTTTGAAAATTGATTTTAATTGAAAAATTTCGAAGCGAAATAAAAATTTTATCTATTGATCCTGTTTTCTCAATTTGTGTTTTTTTATCAATCAAAAATTGTTCTATAACTTGCAAGAGCTTTTTTCTTTGAATTTCGAAATTTGCGATTTTTCGAAAAACTAGTCAGTTTTTTTTCTGTTTCCTTGCGTTCAATACGCTTTTCCAACTACCAGTTACCTGTTTCAATTTAAAAATTTTGGCCGAGAAAACTTGAATAGCTGAACTATCGTTCGTCTGCTTACTGTTTGTCGGCTGAATTTTCACGACATGGAGTTTTTTCCGATTTAGCATCTATTAAAAGTCATTCAGACTCTTGTATAGGTCGTGATGCCCTTGCGGAATAATAAACCTTAGCGATTGATCCATTTTTTAAAACTGGGTTGATTTTATGAAAAAGGTGTCAATCATAAGTTTTTCTAGAAATTCAAAGAGTTTTAAAGCCATCTAATTTTTTCTTTGAAATTCGGAAGTCAGTTGTTATTGTTAACTTTCGTTCATTGACTCTTTTCTAACTCTGTTGGCTATGTTTTCGGTAAACAAATAAGCATTTTTTGTTTCCTTGCGTTAATTGACTTTTTTCTAACTGTCTGTTGGCTATGGTCTAATTATAGAGCTGTAAGAAGACCTTGATATGAGAAAGATAGTAGATTTGAAATCGGTTAGATGATGAAGTTTTCAACAGGTATCATGCGTTGAAATTTATCATCTTTACCTGTCTGTTTAGTTCATCAAAGTGTCAGACGAAGCACATCAGTGATGGACGAGGTTTTTCACGTAGTTGCTGAGAAAACAGCCTCGAACGAAAGAGATCCCTAGCTTGAACTTGATACTTGTTGGGCTGTTTGTTAGATTCGATATATATTTTGTTGCATTTTGTCTGTAATTTATGTATTTGCCGTCCTTATGAGGAGAGCCTTTTTCATGTTCAACCCGCCCATTTGCAGTAGGGAATCAGCTCTATTTATATCTTTTAATATAGATGTCATTACGCATTCATAGCTTCATACTTTGCCGTTTCCCCAAATCGATTCACATAAACATTATTTTCTTCAAATCTATGTAATTATATTTTTTGAAAGTAGAAATTTTAATCTTCAAAAATTCAAATTTAAAGCCTTTTTTTTGTGCGCACGTTGAGTTGAATTAGGCATAACCATCCGTCTGAAGGCAGGTGCAAAAGTAGCTATATATTATTATATTATTATTATTAACTCTATAGTCAAACCAGAAGTGATTGCATATCCTTGTTTTCCGCTCGCTATAATTACTAAGGAATACTAATTCGACTGACCCATTTTGGTTCATGGGAGATTTTGTGCGAGGATTACTTGTACAAGACTGGATCGGTTCCAACACGCGTTCTAATGTCGACAACAAACTGTCGAGTGTCGAAAGCTTATTCGATGTTTCTTTCTGGGGCTCCAATGACTGGCAATTTGTCCTTGAAAACGACCGGTTAGCCCAGCTATTGCTAAGAACAGCAGAAGAACAATTAATAGAGGAAAACATCAGCGATTCGTGGACTGATTTTGAAAATGGAAATTGTCAGTGGAATACTGAGATAGAATCAAAAATGAAGAAGTTAATTCAATACTTGGAGAAAAAGGCATTCGAAAAACGCATTGACCTGGTCAACAAACTAGCTGATTGTTGCATTTGCTTAGGCGATGAGCATGAGTTGCGTGCTGTTCAAGAGTACATTGACGCGAAGGGTTTGAAAACTGATGTGGAGGAAATGTATTCTTTGGTACAACAGGAGTTGGAATGCATAGAGACTAAGAGAAGCATAACTGAAGCACATAGGATGAGAAATGTTGATGACGTGCCTAAGCTGCTGAAATATGCGAAATCGAGAGCCTACCTGCAAGACCAGCTGCGAATTGAACTCGAACATTTAGAAGCCGCTTTGGGGAAATGGAATGCGGAAGACCGACTGCGGAACCACAGAATTAAAGTGGATGCAAAGTCTTTTGCTGAGCTGAGAAGCTACTCGAACCCAACAAAGGAAATTTTCAGCACAGTCAAGGCTAGTCTGATTCTTTTGGGGTTCGAAAGCAGAAATGTAATTAATTGGGGGGACATTTTGACCATCTTCACCAGCTGTAAAGCTAACAAGACTGATTTAGTGAAGTGTTTCAATTCACTGAATTGTAACGCAGTGCGGTTGGAGACCGCGTTTGAAAGCGAAATGGTGTTGCGAAGGTCTAGTCTGGAGAAAGTGAACCATGTATCGAGCGGAGCTGCTCTTTTCTACAAATGGAGTGTGCAGAAGATAGCAGCTGTAAAGAAAGCGTGGGGAGTTGTGACCAGTAGCCGAATATGACATTATGATTTAACCAATTTAAAAAATTTGTTATGACCTTTTAAGTCGTTTTGGAAATTATATCAGAGTTGAATTTTATTATTTGATAATCTGAACAGAAACTGACATTCATATTATAGTTTTATAGTCATAATTAAAATGCTACTCCTAGTTGCAACAGGATTTAATTTTTGTTTTTGAAGGCAGGTGTCTTTTCTACTCCAAGACGTAACAGTGGATTATGAGTTTATATTTTGAAGTCTTTAAGTAAAAAAGAACGAAGTGATTTTCACTTATATAGGTCATTTGAAAAAGTTTGTTCACGCTGATATTTGATTTTTCGCTGGTTGGACTTTGATTGTTTTAAAAGCTCAGTTTATAAGAGTCATGAACATAGTGAATACTCTTTTGTAGGTTTTGGTGATTTTTTTTGTTTTTCGCGAATAGTCTAAATATTATATTTTTCGTAGCGTGATTTTCAATTTCTTTTTACGTTCATTTCATTTCCATTGTTAAAGAGACAGTAAGCAGAAGTGTGGAGGTCTCGAAAAACGGGATCGACTTCTAGTTTCGAAAATGGTTTCCAAGTCGCAGATTTCCAAGCTGAATAAAAATTTCACCTAATGATCCAGTCTTCAAATTGGGTTAATTTTATCAGAAAAGTGTCAACCGTTAGTTGTTCTTCAAATTCACCTTGCCGTTGACCATATATTTTTTATTGAAATTCGAAAATAGAGGTTTTTTCAATAAACAGTTAAATTTTTTTCTGGTGCCTTGAAAGGAAAGGAAACTCCACTATGGTAGGGCAGAAGTGTTAAGTTCACGAAAAACCTGATGACTTGAAGTTTCAAAAGTGGGCTCAAGTGTGCGGAATTCTCAGTGGAATAGAAACACCTATTGATCCAGTTTTTTTTTCTAAATGTGATAAACCTTGGTACTATAATACAATGTGCTTTGAAATTCGATTTGTAATGAATTAACACAGCTGATGCTTTGTTAATTGATTTATTGAAGCAAAAAACAAGTTTCATACAAAAGTACAATAATAAAAACTCCGTATCAGAAATTCTCCAACTGTAATTTTCGCAAAATTTGTGAAATGCTTAATTTATAAACAGATTAGCCTTACGCTTTCTTGCCTGGTTTTGCGAAGCTTCACCTCCGTGTTTAAAGAATTACGAGCAAAAAATTGTAATTTTACTCAAAAAGTTTTGTAGTTTTTACTCAATCGAGGCTTGTGATCTAAGATGAGTTCAATTTTTTCCAAAAATAGAGGAAGCTTAATGATCAATTCCTGAATCATTTTTTTGCATCAGAAAGCGCTTGTGTTATATTACGAGTTTCATTTCCCAGCCTTAGTCGCACAAATAAAAAAAGTTCTCAGTTTCAATATCGGTGCCCTGTTCTTCAAAGCTTTTGCTTGCGATTAGCAACGTTATCAAATTGGATCCTATTTTCTGTATGAACTTTTATCATGTGGTAACTTAATGAACATTTAGAGAAAATGCGATTTCCGTGTTCTTTTACAATTTTCCACTCACCTGTTAGTTGTTTTAATGGTGGCTGGTGTTTGTCTAGACTTTGCAAAACTCTACACTCAATTCGGACATTGATGTTAGGACGTTTGCGTCAAAATATGCGCTCAGATATACCAGCTTTCTATCAACGCCTGTCAGTGTAGGTGACGAATTAATTCGGTTAAAAAACCATTCCAAATTGAGTTGAGGCTCGCTTGTAAATATAGCGTTAAAAGACGCAAAATTTATCTGTGTACTTGGCATTCCACGGTGGTGGACGATTTTCAAAGAATTAAAGTGAAGACTGTTTCAACCGCGTTGACGGGCAGTTAGAACATTAGGTGTTTTGCTCTGATTTGAGCAGTCTTGTATGGTTATCATTAGTGACTTTGTCAAAATTTGTCTTAAACTCCTTGTTTCGGTCCAGTTAAACGGGATATTTCTTAAAGTTTGGAAAACAGTGAAACAAAAATAATAAAGCGCTCAGAAGAATTTTTTGGAAAGTGGATCCAGATAAAAGAATTTTTTCGAATGCGCGAAAAAATATATTTGCAGCCACTTTGAAAAGTGCAGTAAAAACGTCGGGCAAATCCGCAAACTTTTTTAATTAGCAGAAGATCGAAATATAAAACCCTTGCGATAAGCAAGGGTATTGCAGTAGGATACTAGACTTTTTCTCTTAAATAAATAGGGTACTAGACTTTTTCTCTTAAATAAATTTGATACCTGATGGAATCTTGATCCATAATCGATTCAAGTTCCTACGTGTCTCCTGCACACTTAGTCTGAAGGTAACGAATACGTCTGGGACGGCCAAGGTCCTTAGTTCGAATCTGACCAGGGCTTGTATTTTTTCAAATGGAATTTTTTATTACAATGAAAATTATCGGCCTAAAATTTATCTGCTTATGTTTTGTCTTAGCTGCCACATCTCTAAAAATAGGCTCCAAGAATAGTTTTTTTTGCCGTTAACAGTTTTCATTCTTAAGTCTTTAAGCGTTTTAAAATCCAGTCGAATTCAAATTTGATTTTTACATAGGTTTTACCAACTCGATTTGTTGAAATTTGATTTTTACATAGGTTTTACCAACTCGATTTGTTAATTTGTCGATTTGTTAATTTACATAGGTTTTACCAACTCGATTTTACATAGGTTTTACCAACTCGATTTGTTAAAAAAAATTGGTTAATTATAAATTACAATTTAATCAACCAACCTGCGGGCGCATTTGGTGTCGAGGTAACTCAGCTGATTGAGACGGCAAGGGCTTGTCGTTCGAATCCGACCGGGACCTGTTTTTTGTTAACTAGAGTATTTGCTTTTTCTGGAGATCGTATGTCTGTTTGTTTTTGTCGGCTCACTTTCTCATAGCCGTTTTTTTTGAAAGATCAGTTTTCTTCCAAGTTGCTACAAACCCCTTATTGATACCGCAAAGCCCGTTAGTTCGATTCCAGTCGATACCTGTTTTTTTTGCGAACTGAAAAAGTTTGCTTAATTCCGCTGAAAAAACTTTTATGAATATTCAGCTTCTGCCTATCATTCCAAATGCTCCTTGTATAGTTTTCATTGATACAGGTTTGTTTTGAATATTTTGGGTTATAATTGAAATTTCAAATGTTGAAGACGATGTTTTAAAGTTTTTTCCATTTATTTTTTTCCGGTTCATTTTAATCATAGTCCTACATTTTTGTATCGCAAGTGGTGCCAAGGTCTGCTTCGGCTCTGTCTTAAATATTGGTGATAGAAAATTTATTTACAACCTACTATGGCAGGCATAAAATCAATTTTTCTGATCACACCTTTGCAGTACAATTTGACTTCCTTTTAGTTTGTTGTTACTAGTTCAGACTTCTATGTTGGTTGTGATGATTTCTCTTCGTTTTTTTTTCAACAAAATTTGAATTTGTTCGGACTAAATTTTACTTTTTAGCAGTTAGATTTTTGTTTTCTTTTAATCTTCAGTTCCTTTCTTTTGTTAAAAGGAAGGCAAACTCCACTATCGAACAATGAGTGTGTAAAGGTCACTAAAAACCTGATCGACTTCTAAGTGGAATTTAATTATCAGCGTTCCCAGCGAAATAAATTATTTACCGATTGATCCAGTTTTCTCAAATTGGATTAGGTTTATTAAATAAGTGTCAGTCAAAATTTGCTCTAGAAATTCAAGGAGCCTATAGGCCATCTATTTTTTTCTTGGAAATTAGAAAGTTGAGATTTTTTTCAAAAAATCAGTGTTTTCGTTCCTTGACTCTTGCGTTCATTGACTCGTTTCCAACTGTCTGTTGGCTAGGTTTTTTCAAGCAGCGCTTGTGCCATACAACCCATCTTTTTGTTCAACATAGGTGCACATTTTTCTGTGCAAATTTTGTCTTCAATTGTACTATATCTTTTTACTTCTCCAACTAATGAAGCGCATTCATTGCTGCTTGGTATCAATATAACTAATTAAGACATAAAGATGGATGGGCTTCTCGAGAATTAGAATCACAGGCAATCTGGAGGTTCGTATTTCGAATTCCGCAGTCGGATGAATCTTTTTTATTCTTAGAATTATTTCGGTTTTGAAGCTCTTTTGTACGGAGCGATATTGTTCTGATGTAGTTATTATATGCATCACACGTATATTGGAGTGTTTGAACAGAATATTCCGCCGTCAATTTTTAGTTTTACAGGAATATGCTAATATGAAGCATCTAAAATTTGAAAAACAAGCCGATGTCAGAGAAATTGTTAAAACTTTTAGAAGTCGAATCACCAAATTGTTTCTCAAATTTTAGATGCGTGCTATTTGCCTATTCCTATTAAAATTAAAACTTATATGATCTACTTTGTAAAACTTAAAAAAATACTACATTGCACGGAGATTTAAACCGATGTTAGAGAAATTGTTATAACTTAAGAATTTGTTTGAGGGGAGTCGAATCACCAAATTAAATCTCCGTGCAATGTAGTGTTTTTTGAAGTTTTGCAACGTAAATCATATAAATACCCGAACAGCTGATTACAGCTGAACAGCTATTCGTGAAAGTGACTGGCTTGCATATTTACGCTTTCATTTGAATAAGGGAAGAAAGAAATGCTCATTCCGGCATTTCCCCATTCTTGACCAAAACACAAAATTTAATTATTGACTTTTATTTAAATTAGAAATAATAGGGGAAGGCCTGGAAAAAAGCAGATACTTTTGTTAACACTAGCTTTATAGTGTAATAGTGCAACTTTTTTTAAGGCTTAAATATTGGCTGTTTGATTGCATGTGCGTTGACATTTGATTAGTAATAACATAAAACAGCTGAAACAGTTTAAAATCATCTAATGAACCGAAAAAACTATTTTTTGCAAACAAAAGAACAATTATAAAAAACTCGATTTCAGAAATTTTCTAACTCAAAATATCTCGCAATTTGTTCGAAATGCATAATTCATATTTGATTTGGCCATATGCTTTTTATATTTACGCTAGCGAGCAGCTAGTGATTTAGTACGAACCTTCTTTTTTTGTAACCTAATTCGCAAATAAAATGTTCATTAAAAGTGTTCACTTCTGT